TCAGTGCACCGTAGGCGCAATATTCTTCATTTGACGAGCAGCTAGAGAGCATTAAGAATAGCTGCACCACCGCTTCCGCGAGGGATGAAAGGTTCCAAGAGCTTCTGTGCTACGCCGCCCGCACCGAGCGATGGGCATGCAATTATAGGCAGTATCTCCGGTTTCGCCTTGCCACTATTCATGCGCTCGGCGTGTGCAATCTTGAACGCAGTCAACTTCCTGATTGCAGTACAAGATTGAACTGCTCACCAAAGTCTCGCCCTGCGCGATGTAGTGCTCGTCGCGCTGGTAATAGAACGAGAACCCGTCACCGTGCTCGACCCAAGTGCAGCAATCGTCCGAGTGCCCAAAGAGGGACCAGATAGCGGTTCCGGCTCCCGGTTGTGCTTCGACGGCTTTGAGGAACGCATCAAGCTCGTCGCCTTTCGACTGGTTAGGATCATCTGTTTGCCGAACGTATGTGGACCGGGCTCACCACCATGCTCCCCGGTCCAGTCGAACTCGCCAGCATAGTAGACGCGGTCTGCAGCCTGCACGAGCTTGACGCCTGATTCAAATTTTGTGATATCGAGGGGATCTAGGGGTCTATTAAGTCAATGCAGTCTCAGGTTTGTATCGGAGGTGCAGCTCACAGAAGTGATCTGAGCTGAATGGGCTGTCAGAAACAGCGCCCGTGCAAGGCATGAAATGACCCACTAGACATCCACTTCCTTCACTTCCAACTGGCCTGTGCCTGGATAGAGCCCGTCTACAAAGAGTTAGCGGATCGCACGAATGATAGGCTATGTGCGCGTACATGTTCCGTCAACTACGATGAATTATCAGCTCCCAGCTACGTCAAACCCTGCGGAACAAGAAGCTCAAACGTACAAACAAGATGCTTTGGTGCGAGCTTCTTCAGGAGTTGCGCGATATCCTTGGTCCAAGCAGGTGGTGCGGGTCCATCGCGGAACCGCGTCGCCGCGAGCTCGTTGCCAGTCTCCCAGCCCAGGATTGTGGGGTCGTCCTTGTACGCAATGCCGGTGTACTGATTGACGTGGCTGAGGTGGTGAGTGATAAACCGCTTGAAGCTGTCGACGATCTCGGTAGTGTTGTAAAAGTACGCTCCGACGTCGGCCGGAGTGATATCCGCGCCTTGACCTTGAAAGTCGATCCCATGCCACTTGATAAACTGATACTTTCCTGAAGATGGTAGAGAGCGTTAGACCAGGCATGGTTCCAAACCGGCCGGACGCACCACCGTGATACCAGTTGTACTGCGAAGCAATTTCAGCGACGATTGACGTGCAATGAAAAGTAACTTGCGTTGTCTGTGAGAGGGATCACCAATTTCAGGCCATACACCCTCGCAGCGAGAATGGCAAAGTCGATGGGCTCATAGGCGACGTCGTTGAACACGTCGAGCTCGGGTACGACGGCCAAGGGAAAGCCAGCCGATGCAGCGAGCGTGTGGGAGCGGATCGTCGTGCCGCGCATCGCGCTTACGGTTGCCATGGCTTGCAGCACACGCGACTTGCTCGGGTAGCTAGGGTTGGGCACAACATTTTCATCAACGCCGAGCCAATACGCCTGTATAACATAGGTCAGTTGGGCCCGCGAGAGCAATATGACGCCGCTTACATTCACTCCAGTCATCCTGAAAGGCTCTCCTGCAAGGTACAGTTGCGTGCCTTTACGTGTCACGAAAGCGCTTCGTTTGAGCAAGTCGAACACGGATGGAAGGGTCGGAGCAGGGAAAGTTTCGTTGATAGTGCACTTATCGGTCGAACTGCTGTCTAGAGTGCGGCGAACGAAAGTGTCTGGAATGCCGGCGCGCCTGAACTCGTCGACGGGGACTGGCAAGAGTGCAGCACCCGACGACGCCATCGCCAACGCAAGGGCAATCAAGCTGAGCAACGCCATGGCCTAACTGGAGTGCCATCATTTCAACCCAGCTGGTTAAATACGCCCTGCGCGCGGGCGCTTTGAAGCGGGTCGAGAAGTTCTCGTGACGCGTCGTGCCGTCGATCCTGCGGAGGAACCTCGTGAATGTCTTCTGGCCGGTGCGCACGGGCCTTCAATGCGCATATTTGCCGAATATGCTCCGGTATTGAAAGCACAGGGCCATGTTGCGCACGCGCTAGAAACTTTTCGCACGGGTTGTGAATTGACTGTCAGGTTGCCGGTATGTCCGGTGGCGCGAAAGGGAAAGGATGATCGACGGCCCTCGAAATCTGTACCGTAGTCACACTTTGCTTTCACTAGGCTGTCGAGTGATCCATTTGCAAGAGCGGTAAGAAATATAAAGAGTATAAGCAAATTGTTTCAAGCAAACAATACTCTTTCCACATTTCCGTATTGCAGCCAGTAGTAGATTCGTCGCTCATGTCACATTCACGGCTGCACGCAGCGCTCATGTAATTCTGCTGAGCGAGGTCTCCGTGGTACAACCTAGCTAAAGTCAACCATATGACGGGCTGTATTCTCCAATGCGGTGAGCACGACACATGGTCCATCTTGTCGTCATTCTCGCCATAGTTGTCTTTGTCTTCGCCCAACGCCGTAGCCGCTTCTTTAGATGGCGGAGCCGTTGGTCGAGGCGGCGACGACAGGTCAACAATTTCGCCGCAATCAAGTGCTGCAAAGGTTTCCTCATTCACTTCGCCGAAAGAAATGCCGCCATCGTCGAACTCGTCGCCATCTGCACCTGCCAATAATTAGACGCGGAACGGGCTTTACGGGTTTCTGAAAGCCAACGATGCAACAGAATGTCAGGCTTCCGGGCGTGAAAGCTTCTGGACGTAGATGACGCACTGAACCCGCCGCTTCCCCAACTTTTGGTGGTAGCTACTCTGCTTCATGTCCCGCTCGATCTCCTCTTCAATCTGGAATCGCATCGCGTTCCAGTCGAGATCGTCTGAGATCGCCTCTTCCTGCGCTCCTACGACCGCCAGCTCATCCGCACGGTCGTTCCCCTTGTCGTCGCTGTGCCCTAGCACGTGACAGATCCTAATGCCAAGTGAGCACATGAACTCGTGTTTTCCAGAAGGCCTCAGCATACTTGATAGAATTCTCACCACAGAGCTTCTGGCGCCGATGTAAAAGCTTCACCGCATAGTACACCATGCGTGCGTTCTTCACACGCCTGCCGTCAGCAGACTTCCACTGGTCGGGGTCAGGGCTGGCCTTGATCCATTTAGGTAACCAGTTGCCTGTACCTGTTTTAAAAAAAAAGTAAACCGATGAACATGCGTATCAATGATTTGGGAGTGGCATACAGTTGATCGAGTAAAACGAATCGGTTAAAATGAGTAGTTTCGAGCCCGGCTGGTTCGATGCAGTTTCCAAGACGCGAATGATGGCCTTCGAGGGGTGTATCAGCGCAGAAAGAACCATCGAAGGAGACAAACGCACTAGTAGCTCTCCGCGATTGTTCGTCTGCGCACCAGGGCATCTTTCGCTAACATTCCTGTGCGATCTGGTGAGGGCCTTGACACAATAGCAGAAAAACCTTCGCACCTGGGATCGCCATCCGCCCACCAGACACCCGCACCGGCCTGAGCGAACTCTTTGTCTTGGTTGTTGCTGCAAGCACCATCGACGTAGACTACCTCCCAGCCGGTGCGATCGTCAGGCTCGGTGTTAAGAGGACTCGCAATACCTGCGCTGCGCACATACTCCTCGGCTTCCTGACGCGTGGAGAATTTTTCGTATCGACATTGAACGCCGTGAATATGGGGTTGACATTCTCTCCTGCGGTCGCGTTAAGAACCAAAGCACTCAGGTAGAAGAACCGCATTACCAAGTCGAGTAGACTCCTGGCTTGCGACCAAGAGCGACAGCGTAGAAGCCGCCACGTTTCTTAGTCTTGGGCATGTGATCAGGCGGAAGTGTGGTTGGAGTCGTGGTCATCGCGCGTCTCTCCGGCTGGACTTTGATTTGTCGGAGCCTATCTGACGAAACACGTCTGAAGCGCATTGCGCTAAGAAATGTAAGACTTTTATAAGCCATATTTGACCCGAATTGTGCGTGTCTAACGTCCCACAGAAGAGCGTGCAGTGATTTATGCAGTTTGTGAACTGGCGTGAGCAAAAGGGACGGACCGTGCAATCTCCGACCTGACAGTCTGCATTTGCTCCACTAATTTTCGGTTGCTGCAAGATGGCATTCCCGCTGCAATCGCAACTCATTCATAAGCATTGCTAAACTTTCTTAATTGAAATATAATGGCCAAGATCAGGGTAACAATTGGCAGGAGCAGTCGTGGGCGGAGGTTCCCCAACTATAGCTGCATTTGCTGCTGCACGCTCAAGAAGCTTGTAAGTCGGATGACCTCTGCTTCGAGCCCTCTTCTTCCATACACAATGACGGCCACAGGCGCAGTTATTGCTGCATATGTAGCCGCGTGGAGCCACTGCATTCTGCACGCGTAGTGCTGCATGCTGACGGACCCTTGCCCAGCTCCCCCCGCTCTGCATATCGGCTGCCAGTGCTCGTCGTTCTGTATTTCTTCTTCGCCTATCTTAATGAAGCCCGGCTTCCTGCTCAATTGCGATGCCAAACAACGTGCAGAGCGTTTAACCACCGCCGGATACATTGCCGCTAGCGTCCTCAACTGCTTAGCCTGGCTCATCAGCGACAAACCACAAACAGCTAATCGCCATATCGCTGGGCGCGGTAAGGCAATGTTCCCATAGTGGGGAGCGGCCGGTACGTGCTACGCGTGCCGAGTTGAATGTCCTTACCTTGTCTCAACCGCCGCCGGCCCACCGGTTCGGAAGCTGCAATGCTCTCGAATGGCGAGATTGATTGGCTTTACAGTGGCTTGGTAATGAGCAACACGCTTTTATCTCTCGAGCATAGCCTTCGGATACTGTCATCGTCAAATCATTAAGTAGCACTCAGAAGCCCTTGATAGTGTAGAGTACCCCAACGAAGCCGGAGCAAAAGAAGAATGCAGTACGGAACGCGTGATGTCACGCATCCTCAGTGACTGCCGTAGCCAGTCAAAACTCAATAGTTACACTGTGCAGGACTCGAACCTGCGATTCCGCGCGAAATGCGGGGGGTGTTGTACACTCCGCTTTGCGATAGAGTGTTGCCACTACACTAACAGTGTCCATCCGGAACGTCGGTACATAACAAACATGGCGTCAGAGGGAACAAACGTGGAGTAGATGGCTAGTCTGACCTCTACGGTCTCGCCCACGACCGTCGACCTATTGTTCTTGAGTTTTCGGGCTCTCGCACGAGGATAAACCCAGTGAGGTTGTCCTCTCACCGTCCCTCAGGTTCGTATTATGCGCTAGCAGTGGAGAATTGCGTCGAACAAACACGCGAGTGTAACGGAGCTATTTTAACTCGCGTTTATGAAACTAAGAGGGGATGAATATTTGGCAATCTACGTATAAAATACAGCGGGAGGCAAGTGTCTACTCAACTTTGGTGCGCTTACGGAATACTAAACCGAGTTCTGCGGGCATCAAGGTCAGCCGTTGCTCAATCTTGATTCCTAGTTCACGGCGCTCGCGCTCATCTGTAACTCCCTCCAACTTCTGTTTTGCGTGAGACGAGAGCTCGATGCGGTACTTGGATATGAGAACCGCCAACAAGGCGATACTCTCTGTCTCGGCGAACCGACGGCCGATGCACACGCGAGGTCCGGCACTAAATGGTAGAAATGCGTCGCGAGGCCAGTGAGGATCGAGGAAGCGGGTAGGGCGGAAGAGAAAGGGGTCCTTCCACCAGCGCGCTAACGAGGGGGATTGAAGTCAGCTACTTAGTGTAGTGCGAGTAGCTCCATTGGGGGCGTACGATTATAATGCAGCCCGATAATATGTGCAGTAACAATAGTGCCTTTGGGTACGGGTACACTGGTCATGCCGTTTGGGGCAGGAAATGCGAGTGGAAGGTTGGTGTCGATGGTGCTCTCCTTTGAAATATGAGCTACCTGGTGAGCGGCACATATTAAACCCAATCATTCAGTCAGGGCGGTTGCGGAATGATTGCTCACAGGTGGGTAGAGCCGGAGTGTCTCGTGCAGCACGCTATGTACCATGAATACAGAGTGAGAGTTCGATGGTGATGTACTTACGCAAGGGTCCGTCGCAGCTTGTTCAGGTCTTCATATCTCTGTCCAGACGCAAGTTTGTCAGTCATACTCAGGATCACGTACATCGAATTCTCGAGTTACCGGATGGTTTTCCGGTTCCGAGTAGGTCCTGAGTTCCTCGTAAACCATTTCCTGCTCCTCAGGATGCAAAGCTAGTAGCCCCAGCGCAATCGCAATTGTGTGCGCCGTTGACTATAGCATGAAGATATCATTAGCGAGCATTGAAACGTGTCGAGTATGTGATGCACCTCGTGCCCTCCAATGAGAAACGCCATCACGTCGGCCACAAGCTCCATGTCCGTGAGCCGCAATTCAGGGTTGGTCTCCGAGTCTGCCGCACGAACTAGCGAACTCAAAGATCGCTACGATCATCAGCCTGTGAGAGATCGGCGCGTCGCTCTGCCACGAGGGTCTTGACGGTGTTCTGTATGGCGACGATTCAGAGGGATGTCTTTGTCCGAGTGTGCCGAGAGCCGCACCACTGTCTCGTCCCATGCATCATTCATATGTCGGAAGGAGGGAAACCGCTTCTTATCCATTCAGGAATAATGACGAGAGTGACAAGGTTAGCCATAGCCATGTCGGCGGCTTCTTCAAAGGGCATGATACTGCCTAAATCAGAAGTCAGCCGCTATTCATCGAGTTAGTGAGCCACATACCTGCTGAGATTTTATGAGCTGTGTTGTCGGAGTCGGGTCTTCCAAAAACTGCTACATTGATGACCTTCAGGGCGTACTAGGTAGCAGAGTCAGAATGATTAATACCAATCTCCTGAGACATGATAGCATACGGGTAGAGTGATGTCAACAGCCTCATCAATCTCAACGACGTCCTTGCCAGCCCAGACGAAGGACTTGAGAAGTCGTCGGGCAAGGTCTATGCTGGTGTCCCAGACAAGACGATTGCTGCGCTCAGTGAAGGAGCCTTGAGCGGGCATTCTGTGGCGACGATAATCTGCACCCTGGGACTCAATTTAGAAGCTGTTGCTCTGGCTCTGTAGGAGCTAGAACACACCTCCGCGCTGACGATGTGTACTCCAACGAGGTTCAGTAACTTGTACATCTCAACCGGCTTGATGAAGGTCGCGCGAGACCTGAAGACTTCCTAAACACGCAATCGCATAAGCAGGAGACGAGCGCTCAGAAATCAAATCACACGCCTTCAGAGCGATCGGATCTGCAGCTACATATGATACCCTTCCAGGGGTGAGGGATGCCTTGTGCTGTGTCAGGCCGGGCGATTGCATTGTTCTGAAGACGTACTACAGTCAGAACATCGGCTCCAGCCTCCGCAAAAGCTGTTGAACGTGTCAGCTACCAATGCGATGCTGTCGTTCTCTGAGCTTACGCTGATGCCGCAGTTTAGTCCACCACTCTGCATCCATGCACACATACGGAATCCTGGGTAATGGATAAGGAAACTCTGGCGCGAGCACGAGACGGATTCCGGGAAAGTATCCGACACTTCGAAGGCGCCTGAGAACGCTCAGAAATCGCAGCCCAAGTACCGTGAAGAGTACCGCCAGAACTACGAGTGATGAGGACCATGTGCCAATAGGACCGACGACAGTGATGAAAGCGGATACTGCGGCATTGAAGTTTTGTTTCATGACATGGAGAGCAGTCGAGCAGTATTGGAGGAGTTCTTCACCAAGCATTGAGAACAAGATATTCCGCATGCGACACCTGTCACTTTTATATGCGTGTAGTCCGGGCAGTTGTGACCGTGTCGCGGAAACGAATGGAGACCTTCGGGAATTCGTTCGGATGACCTCGCCGGTCGTGTCCGCTAGGTTTGTAATTTCTGAGATGACTATTCTCAAAGCGCTGGCTACACTTGCCCGAAAGGCGACACCACTCGTATAAAATTACAGACTATATCTTGAAATGGCGAAGCCGCTGAGAAAAAAAGTTTCGAATATGTCAGATCCAGTCCGATAACGGCCGAGTTGCGTAAGCGGCACTCTGAGCGTGTGGCGTAACCCTGCTTCTCGATTTCTGGCTCAAGATGACTTGGAAGCTAATAGATACACTGCGCAGGAATCGAACCTACGATGCCTCGCGGAATGCAAAGGAGTGTTGCCACTACACCAACAGTGTCCAATGATTCCGTTGCCACTGAGGCCATATCGTACCACCGTGGCTGAAGCTGCAGAATATGACCACTCTCTGTGAACTGACTGAACATCTTAAAGCTGGATCGTCCGGCAATATAGCAGCAGATACAGTGAATATGAGCACCGCTGCTCCCGTGCCGTATCGGCTTGAAGGTCAGTGTGTCAATAGCATGATTTCGAGCTCTATTGGTCCAGGAAGTCAATCACAAGACTCGTGGTACGCGTGATGTCACGCTTATAACTTGAAATTTTGAAATGCGACTGAAACAACGAGACTCTGAGCATGTCTCGACCTAGGGCATCAGGAAATAGCGCATGTGTTGACCTTGTTCAGTCTCATTTGCACAGCCATGTGCTTCCTTATAACCAACAATAACACGAGACATTGCGAAGCTGGCATAGAAACATGACTTGTTTACAGCATTGCCGCGCCGAACAGCGAGACGAGTCCGAGCGCCCCCACATCCACACGGGTGAAGCGGCCGGCGGCGCCACCCGCGGGGGTGTTGCTCGGAGTAGCAGCGGTATCACTCGCTGTGTTAGAGCCAGACAGCGACGCGGAGCTGGTGCAGAGACTGGTGAGCGCCTCGGACAGAGGTGTGCAGCCGTCGGTTGTCTTAAGACACGACTGTAGCGAATCGAGGAACTTGGGCACCGAGCACACGCAAGCGAGCTGCTTCGTTGAATCAGACGTAGAGCTGCGTACGGATATCAGCTTTGAACTGCTTGCGCTTACAGGACGCACTGAAGGCAACCAAGAACCGGGACGGCCTGGACGAGGTCCACCTTTGTCTGGCAGGAATCGATACACTTCTGGTTGGTCGCGTGGTCTGTGCCGGGGATCTCAGGGATTTGGAACTGTGCCGCGACTGTGGAGAACGTGATCGCGAGGGAAATGAGTGCTACTTGGTTACGCATATTGAGTTATGTCAAAGGGCTCCACTTGGGAGATGCGGAAACGAAGGGCGTTGAGAGGCAAGTACGAGAAAGAAAGGGATGAAGACTCCGGAGATCAGCGGGACAGCACACATTCGCGGCTCCGGGCCCGGGGGCGTGATGGCGCAGAAGCTCGAGAGCCGTTCATGATTGCAACAGCGTGGATCCTTCGAGCACGATGGGATCGAAGAACAGCTAGAAACACGTGAAGACAGTCGAGTACGAGCTACCATCCGCAGGCACTCCAGCTGGAACAAATCAGCATTCTTGCATTCCCACTGAGGGGAAAATCATGGCTGTGCGGTGCATCGCTGACGGTCAAATGCTTGTCCTCATGATACGTCGGAGCAGGTTTGAAGTTAAACCACTTTTACAGGTAATGTCTATCCTAGGAGTTTAGATGCCCATTGGACCCCCGCTGACGTCTCGCGGGCATCCCCGTTTGTCAGCGAAAGCACAGGTATCGGGTGTCCGCTCGTTCACAACACTGGCGACGGGCTCCTGTCTGAGCTCGTTGCGCTCGACAACCGCCTGCCACGCCGTACAGGCGTCTCACCGCTGGCACCATAGTTGGAGCCAAAGTCGAAACTCGAGTAATCGTTTTCCGTCTCTCTTTGCCGAAACTTACCCTGGTGCGGGATGCTGTCGTCTGAGTACAGTCGTACGGCGACAGCGGCGGGGGTGGGATCCACCACCTGCACCGGGTTATGCTGAAGCTGCCGGCTGCTGGCCGCTGCGCTCGCATTCAAGTGGCTCAACACTGACTTTTGCCAGTCAACTTCCCGGTCGTATGAGCTGGCCTTGAGCATCAAATGTCGCTTTTGCATTACCGCACGCGCCTGGTCGCGTTGCCACCGCCTCTCAATCGCGCGCCGCACCTTCTCTCCGGCGCGCGCCTTCAGCTGGGCCTCCTTGCGCAGCCGCTTCGGGTCAACGGCCTCTCTTAGTATCATTTGCATCTTCTCGGCACTTAGGCTGTGCGGCAGCGGCGTCGATGGGCCGTTTGGCCAGCTGCTAGACGACTGCGTTTGCGTCGCACCCGGCACGCTGAGCAAGTCCTCGTTAGGCTTGCCGCTGCCACCAAGCAGTCGCATCAGCGGCTTCCTGAACCCATTTGAACCCGTCATCCCACGCTTCTTTGAATGGGATGGTGGCTGCTGGAGCCGTGGCAGCGGGTGCGGGAGAGGATGGTAGCCGGAATGCGTGGCATTCACATTATCTACCTCGTCCGCGGTCGTCACGCTGCAGTCTTGCTTGGATATAAGTCGGTCGCCAGCGAACGAGTAAGTGCTCAGCGGCATGAGACTGGACAGTGCCTGCATGTGATCACTGCGCTCACGAGCGTTTGGAGGCGAAGGTTTGTAGTCTCCTGGTAGCTCGAGATCTTCGGGTATGGATGTGGCGAGCTGAGACCCCGAATAGTATGATGGGCGTTGGGTGTCGGTGCTGTCGCTCGATTCGGAACTGTTGGCGGAAAAGAGGTAGTCTACCAGAGGCGATTGCAAGTGTGATGGCATGACGTTGCACGGCGAGAGTGGAGGGGTGCTGGTGCTGGTCGGTTTCTTTGAAGATCCGCGAACATCATTTATCAGCGGCGGCACAGCCAGCGGGGTCCTGGGCACGGGCACAGGCTGGGAGCGCATCTCGCGCACATACTCGCAGTCGAGCAGGTCACTCGTCTTGAGGCGAGCCGCGGGCTCGTATCGTAGGAGGTCTTCAATCACGTCAACGAGCGAGCGTGGGACCGTCGGTGCAAACAGGGTCGTAAACACGATGGGCTCGGACTGAAGTGTGTTGTGTTAGACTGAGCGCGAGCAGAAATCTTACACGTACCTTGCCAAACAGAACGCCATACGAATCCGCCATCTCAATACCTTTGGGCCAGGGACCGCCACCATGTATGCGGCCACGCCCGTTATAGCCGTAACTATCGGTTGGTTCGCCGAGCACTTGTGTGATTCGACTCATCTTCAGCCAATAAACGTTAGACAGTTTTGTGAAACGATCAGCACGGCGCTAACCTGGTCGATCTCACCCAAACCGGGGAAGAGTGGCTTCAAATTAATGAGCTCTGCGAGAATGGTACCGAGAGCCCACATATCGATGGAATTCGAATATTCGCGGGCACGGAGCAGAACCTCAGGCGCGCGGTGCCACCGCGCGGCGAAGTAATCTGCGGTCGGTGGTCGACTAGATGTTTCGCGAGCGAAGCCAAAGTCGGCGATCTTGATTATTACCATGAGATCTTGGGGCGTCATTGGGGCGTAGTCGGCCAGCCCGATTGTAGTGACCAGTAAGTTCTTGGGCTTCACGTCACGGTGAATGTAGCCGTTGGAGTGGATGTGATGCAGCCCCGAGACAACCTGCTGAAAGATGGAAAAGACTAGTCCTGGAACGAAGGCACGACCCTTCCTTGAGCGAATCAACTGGTGGACGTTGCCTTCCATGGATTCATAAACCAAGAAGAGCTGCTTCGTGAGAGGCGTAAGAAATAAGTCGTAAAGGGAAATAATGTTGTCGTGTTGGGGGATGGAGCGCAGTGATTGGAGTTCTTTGTGTTCTTCCCAGCCGTCATCGCAGGGTTTAGTCATCTTCTTAAGTGTGACAAGCACTTTCCCATTCCACTCCGGTCGCGCGCCGGCACCGCATTGCATTGGAGAAAGATGCGTTCCGGGAGGCAGCCGTGAGTGCCAGTCGACCAGGCAAACAGAGCTGGATGAGCCCCTGCCGACAACCTTGACCTGTGTCCACGAGCGCTCCGAGTCTGTCATGATGAAATCAGTGTAAAGGTAAAATATTCATCAACGAGACATCAGCTGACAGGAGTGCGCATCCCCGATAATGACATGGTCGCCATCAATGGTCATAGACGGGACGGCGGTGACCGTCTCGCGGTGCGCGTGTTGGTGGGGGTTATTGGATGTGGTGATATTGTTATCATGCGACATCGTTTTCGACTTCAGAGAAGAAACCCCTGTGTTGTAGCTGCTTATCCCGTCAATCGAGTTTGCTAATGTAGTAGCGGAAGCGTAGTACTCCGTCCGACTTACAAGTTCCGTCTGACCTGCAGCTCCAGACTGTTTCTCTCTGCTGCAGCTGGATCGGCTTTGCTTTTGGGATATATGTTTCCTTTGGCTATGATTTCTCTGAGAAGTCCCTCGGTCAGAAGGATAGACATTGCCTTCAGAAATTGAGCGATCACCGCATGGAATTCAAGAGACAGACTAACCTCCGAATGAACATGGCTCTTGTGATGGACCAGCCATTCCTGTAACTCAAGTTGAAGGGCAACGCCCTCGTCAAGTGGGCACTTTCGGTTGATGAAATCGCTTATTCGCCACTCCAGTTCCGTGACTTGCTCAGCGCAAGTCGCGTGCGCTGACTTCCCTACGGCAGGTCGAGTATCGTCCAGAGAGCCATTCTGACGCGCAGGCACATGAATATGCTCGGCCAGGTCATATGTAATCGGTGAATGTGCCCGCGACGAGCTGGGCGTCCAGTCTGGTGACACAATAGACCGATTCGTTGGTGCTGACCACATGGTTGAAAGCGTCAAGTTGCTCCTCAGCGATGCGCGATCCACATCTGACGCCAAAGCAAGTGCAAGGTCTGCTCCGTCGCTGCTCATCCCAGAACTCGACATGCGCGCTGGTCCAGCAAGTTGAACGGAGGCACAGATCCGTCAGGGTCCAAGCCCGTCGACGGATGTAATTGTCGCAATTTGGTCCGAGTCGTAACTCCACAATAATTGATCTGTCCAAACCCCATGTCCGCTTCGTCCAAGACACAAGTCGAAAGTGACCTGCCCTGAACAGAAATGGGCATAATCGTTCGCATATGATCTCGTAGCAGCGGGGCGGGCCGGACTGGGCACTTGCTCTGTTCGTCGTTACCTGACTTAGCCCTATGACCGAAACACACCCACCAACGTCGTTCGTAATAGCCCGCAAGTTCAAGTGACTAATCAACAGTTGCAAGTGGCATATAAAGTTCAAAAGTCCGGGGAAAACAGATTAGAGAAGAACTAATAAATCAGAGAACTACTGA